AATTGGTCAATTTGTTTTCACAATATATTAGTTTTTATTACAATAGGGGAGAGAAAACGTGTTTTGTGATCGGCGACGATTAGTTTGGGGGGGAAACCCGTTAGCACTGGTGACTTGCAAAAGGGTTGCTTTTGTATACTCAGGTTATATCCAAATTTGGGCATAGACAATCAGTTGTGGTTGCTTACAACCCTTGTTTTGGTTCGTTAAACCCTTCATGTCTCTTAGCAGGTTGTTGGTTTGTTCGCTATGTGATCGAAACTCGTGGATGGTCAATCCCAGCGTCCAAGCGTTTTTGTGCCCGGGGTGAAAACCGGGGGGCCGTGAAGTTGTTGTGTACCCTGGAGCAGAGATCTTCGGGGTGACAATGATGCGGCCACTGTCTTATGACCTGAACATCTTGCTGTCCTGCGGTGGTGGAAGTTCTAAAGGATAGGAACGATAGGAACGGTATAAGAAGAGCCTGATTTACTGGGATATAGGATTAGTAGAACCCATTTCACAAGGAGACCTATCAACCAGCCAGTATAAAGGAATGGTAAAAGGGTATTTGTCATAGCTCATGTCATGTCCAGAAGTGGGTATGACGTCATGAGCCAAAGAGACCTGTAGTTGCATCCGATTGTTTCTTTTGTTAGCGTAGGGTGACATGTTAGTCCATGCTGTAATTTAAATGATGAGACAGGTTCTAATATCTAATAACCCCAATGACAGGGTGGTGGGTAGTTGATTTCAGTCCTGAGGAAAGTTTAGACTCGGGTTGCCCTATAGCGATCTATAGCGTACGTCATCAAAGTCAATCTTTAAATTGTAGTCATGGACCACATCCATCGCGAAAGGGTGGACGGATTCTAGGCCCACCCCTGCAGGGAAGCGTTTCTGTGTCAGTCACCAATGGGTGTCTGACCATCACACAATGTGACACAACGCAGTTCAATGTTTTGCGTGACAGTTTCTGGTGCCAGATTGATCAATATCAATGGACGGTCGGCTTACCTGCACTGACCGTGCGCTTGGATTGTCAAGGGAGTCATCATGTTTACAGAATTTCAGTCAGCTTGGGTTTGTATATCTTTGTTGAAACCTTTGTGGCTAGCCGGTAAACTGGTCAACCGTCTTAACCTTGTATGATGTGACATAATAGATGACAACTGTCTATCTTAGAACATGTGTATCTTTGAACGTGTTTGTGTAGAAATAGATCGCCTACTTCCCTAAAAGAAGCACACAGAGATCCCCTCCTGACTTTGGGTCTTCCAAATGGACAGCATATTATGATTCTGATGGTTTGCTTGACGACTCAGACTAAGTTGTTCTTTCGTAAGGGGCTTCCCATGATAGTTTTTAGAGTAAATGCAACACATGGTAAGCCCCCCTCGTATTCAAATTGTTTGAATCCTGCTCGTCCCTGGTCATGTCTAGCTCAAAGCACACCCTGCTGCTGGTCGGTCATTTATCCATCAAGTTTTAATATATATATATATAATTATATATATACACATACAATTAATTAATAGATAGATAGACAGATAGATAGACAGATAGACAGATAGACAGATAGGCATATAGGCATATAGACAGATAGACAGATAGATAGACAGACAGACAGACAGACAGATGCACAGATGGACAGATGGACAGATAGATAGATAGATAGATAGATAGATACAACATAATATGCATGTATGCTGTCCATATCTATATATACCTACTCGATCTAAAATCTATGGTTTGGAAAACCCCTAATGTTTAATGGATATCTAAAATTCAGCACTAGCCAAAGATTTGAATCGTAGCTTAGCACCCGCTTCGGGATTGCGAAGCAGCTTCGGGCTTGAACATGGACCCAACTGATCAGATTGGATAGGCCGATTCTGTCATATCTGAGCGTTCAGATCAGCCTGTGGGGAAAATGCAGCTCGGAACGCTTTAATTAACTTGAATCTGTGATGATAAGCGTGTTTTTTATTTGTTGTTGCCATTTTTTGATTTTCTTTGATCATCCTGGGCAACCAGCATTCAGCACAACTCGCACCACGGTACAAAGTACATTTCGTGGCTTTGCCCAACCGTTTTTGGATGAACGCAACACACAGAGTCGTGAGACTACGTGTGCGTCAGCGCATCTGCAAGCGGGGGTCACGGACGTTTTTGGCGGAAAGTGTCAAAACAGGAGTGGTGCCTGCCCCACAACTCTGATGTCGCTGTGTCTGATCATGTTTTTTTTTTCTGTTGCGGTATACCACCCAAGGGGTATCATCTCATGGGAAGATAATCCAGGGGAGCTAGAGGTTTTCCACATGTTTTTCAGGCAAACCTTTTGTTTCGGGGCTGAATCCCACCCAACATGTTGTTTTGTTCTATGTCGTTCTATCCCAAAGGCTGAACCCCTTCACCGACCAGCATTTCACGCTCCACTAGACCAACATAAGTATGGAAATCCATGCATGTTCCTAAGAAATGATCTAAACTGGTTGGTGGTTTGGAACATGAATTTTATTGTTCCATATATTGGGAACAATCATCCCAACTGACGTTCACTAGCTCATATTTTTCAGAAGGGTAGGGCTCAACCATTAACCAGTAAACATGGAGGATTTTCCACCGCTATGTTGAAATAGCAGGCCGGGTCTTTGTGGCGTGTGGCGAAGGGTTTTTTGTTGACCCTACGGCCAAGGAGTTACGGGATGTTCATGCATGATCCTGACACTCATGCCACCTGGTTCAGCCAAAGCATCATCGACAGCGAGGACCGTGACGTTTGTTTTTTGTAAATTGCTCCCTGTGGTGGAAGAAAATGTATGTTGATGGCTTGTCAATTCAGCATGGTCAAAAATTGGATTGGAAATTGAGGGATTGTCATCGATCCACTCATATGAGTCAAAGAATTCCCATTGTGGGATCGTCATTTCGATACCATGTCTTGACAAAAGTTTTGACGAAGCTACATATGTTAGTATTGCCCAGATTTTAAACCCACCATTCCAAGCTGCATCCGATTTCTGAAGGGGGAGCTAAGATACCACATTTTTGGGTTTCTCCTCACTGTTCCGTTCTGAGAAATCATGTTTTAATCACTAAATATGGCCTTATATGGTACAGTACCTCCATTTTAGGTTCCTGAAATGACCATTGATCACATAGGTTCTATTGAGGTGTGATTCCCTTGAGTCGTTTTCATGAAATTGCCTTGAATGGTTTAACAACATTTCGTGAAATCCTTACGAAAGCACCCAGCGAGGACACGGATCAATTGTTCCAAGTCTGTGGTACGGTCATTGGACTCGCAGTTCCTCAGACCTGGAAGATCTTGAAAGAAGTTGGGGAAAAACCATTCGCAACCCCCAACAAGAAAAGTGGGAATGGATGCCTGGAAATATGAAGTATATATATATATATATATATCATCTAATTCACAGGTTCACAGGAAACACTTTGCGACATCTTTTTGGGGGGTAGTATATATATATATATATGTATGCTACTTGGTGGTTTGGAACATTTTTTATTTTCCCCAATAGCTGGGATGGTGATCCAATCTGACTTTCATATTTTTCAGAGGGGTAGGTATATCACCAACCAGTATGAACAGTTTATTTTCCACAGGAAAAAAACATGGGGCTATGCTGCGAAGCCTGGGGGCTTTCTCCCGGCAGGTGCTCTTAAAATCAAGAGCCATCAACACATGACACTGGTTGGTGGTTTGGAACATGAGTTGTTTTCCCATATTCAGTTGGGAATTTCCATCCATCCCAACTGACGAACTCATAGACTTTCCATTCAGTTGGGAATTTCCATCCATCCCAACTGACGAATTCCATCATTTTTCAGAGGGGTAGGTATACTATACCACCCAGAAAATGATAAACAATTCTTCCCTGAACATGTTTTTAATAAACTCGAAAAGACCCAAAAGTGGTGCTGTTGTATTGGATTCATGCCCAAAACCAGGGACTACGTCCAACATTTCCAGGGACGCGCAGCTACGGAAATGGACATTTTTGGGTGGGAATCCATGGAATCCATGGCCCGTAGCCTCTGGTGATACAAAAAGCGACATGGAAAATGGCCATTGAAATAGTGAAGTTTCCCATGAATAGCATGGTGATGTTCCATAGTTATGTTAGCTTACCATAAATAGCATGGTGATGTTCCATAGTTATGTAAACGTTTACCAGGCCGGGTATGAAAAAAGGGTCACCTGACATTCCCATGACTTGGCTGACAGCGGTTCAAGCTCGAAGCTGTGCCCGGGAAATGTGAAGCTTGGACTGGAAGGGGTGGAGCAGCCAATTGGGTCAAAAGCTGGCCATAGTTGGGGGATGCTATGAATTCCAGCGATCTTTGGATGAAGAAAGGGGTTGACCGTCAGTTGACCTGCGAATCCCCTTGGGTTTTCACATGTTTTCACCCATATATAGCCATTGGTGTTTTGATAGCCCGATGGGTGAAAACCACCTAACCCGGTTGGGTCATTTTGTCAGCGCAGTAAGTGTTTTTTTTAGCCAATTATAATTGGACTAAGCCCGCCCTTAAAACATCTTGAAAATGAGGTTGGGAGCCATTTAATTTACATCCATTTACATTGAATTTACTAACTGGGATGAGCCAGCAAGTTGTTTTGATATATTATGATATGTTTTGATAGAGTCACCATTGCCACAAATTGTGAAGGATCTGGAAGCATTGGTCTGTTTTCTCCGGTTAGGGCCCTGCACAAACAGGAACTATAGCTTTACCTGCTGCGATGCCGTGCACCGTTTAAGGAAATCATGCTTCTTTGTTCGTTTGAACATTCATTCACAATATATGGGGGGTTCCTAAAATAGGGGTACCTCCAAATCATCCACTTGAATAGGATTGTCATGGATTTTCCATTAAAAAAACACATTCATTTTGGGGTACCCCCATGACTGTGACTATGGACACCCCCATATGTTGATGTTGACCAGGGTACCAGACTTACCAGGTGATCCATACTATGCCACTTGAGGAGGACGATGAAGGAGGACCTGCCGGGTCCACAGCATGTGCTCTCTCTGGGAACAAGGCGCCATGGCAAGCCATGGCCGACCTGCCGGGCAAAGTCAGCTTGAAACAATGGGACTTAACCATACTTAACCAGCAACACTTAGGATGTTAACCAACTCTACCGGGGTCTCAAGGTTGGCATTTAATATGATTTCATATGGTTAAATACAGTGGATGGAAGAATTCCTGCACCAGTTGAAAACGGTGGTTAGTCCCACTATTTAGTTCGGGTTTCAACCATCCTTTCGGCGGTGCAGGATTTCGCAACCATCCGCAGTATGTTTTGGCCATCCAAGCTGGCCCCGGAACGTCTTGTGGTGTAAGACTTTGTTGAGTTGCACCATAAATGTCCATCAATGTCCATTAATGTCCATAAATGAGTAATATGAATGTATATATATATATACACATGTACATATACTCTCTCTCTCTATATTATAAATGGGCTAACGCCCTGGTGCCGCCGACCCCTTTTCAAGGGTGGAGGAAGAAGTGCGCAGACATAGAGCCACTCAAGAAGCCCAGCAAACGGCTAGGCCTAAACATTGTTAAACATACGTATGTATATATATATATAGTACATTACATGCATTCCATTCGCAACAGTGGAATGATGATAGAACTTGGGGAATACTCATGACGTCATTGTGGCGACGCCACCAGGATGAAAGACTGTGAAACACCCCAAGACATCCAAGACCTTCTAATGCGCATGTCTCCTGTTGAGATCGCTGCAGCTACGCATGCTTTATTTGTGCGAAAGGTTGCTAGCCCATAAGAAGCCATTGAAGTGGCCTTGGGGGTTTGGAGGGTTTGGAGGGTTTTAGGCCTGGCAAACGGCAAGCTTGGACGCCCATAAAAAGCCATGGATGTGGGCTTTTGCCTGCGCTGGAAGCCCATAAGAAGCTATGAAGTGGCCTTTTAGGGGTTTTAGGCGTTTGGAGGGTTTTAGGCCTTGCAAACGGCAAGCTTGGACGCCCATAAAAAGGTATGGATGTGGGCTTTTGCCTGCGCTGGAAGCCCATAAGAAGCTATTGAAGTGGCCTTGTAGGGGTTTTAGGGGTTTGGAGGGTTTTAGGCCTGGCAAACGGCAAGCTTGGACGCCCATAAAAAGCCATGGATGTGGGCTTTTGCCTGCGCTTGAAGCCCATAAGAAGCCATTGAAGTGGCCTTTTAGGGGTTTTAGGGGTTTGGAGGGTTTTAAAGGTTTGGAGGGTTTAGGCCTGGCAAACGGCAAGCTTGGACGCCCATAAAAAGCCATGGATGTGGACTTTTTGCCTGCGCTGGAAGCCCATAAGAAGCCATTGAAGTGGCCTTTTAGGGGTTTTAGGGCTTTGGAGGGTTTGGAGGGTTTTAGGCCTGGCAAACGGCAAGCTTGGACGCCCATAAAAAGCTATGGATGTGGGCTTTTGCCTGCGCTGGAAGCCCATAAGAAGCCATTGAAGTGGCCTTTTAGGGGTTTTAGGGGTTTGGAGGGTTTTAGGCTTGGCAAACGGCAAGCTTGGACGCCCATAAAAAGCCATGGATGTGGGCGCTGGAAGCCTATAAGAAGCCATTGAAGTGGCCTTTTAGGGGTTTGGGGGGTTTGGAGGGTTTGGAGGGCTTTAGGCCTGGCAAACGGCAAGCTTGGATGCCCATAAGAAGCCATGGATGTGGGCGCTGGAAGCCTATAAGAAGCCATTGAAGTGGCCTTTGAGGGGTTTTAGGGGTTTGGAGGGTTTGGAGGGTTTGAGGCCTGGCAAACGGCAAGCTTGGACGCCCAGAAAAAGCCATGGATGTGGGCTTTTGCCTGCGCTGGAAGCCCATAAGAAGCCATGGAAGTGCCTTTGAGGGGTTTTAGGGGTTTGGAGCGTTTTAGGGCTGGCAAACGGCAAGCGTGGACGCCCATAAAAAGCCATGGATGTGGCCTTGGGATGCCTGTTGCTAAGAAAGACAAGTTCCACACCTGCGGTGGTCCCAGGCGCCGGCGAAGGCCGGGGTCGGCGGATATATATATAATATGTATCTATCTATCTATATATATATACTATGAATACGCGGCAACCAGCTGCTTTGTTGGATGGTATCTAATATTCGCAAATATTCCTAGCCAATCAGTTGACATCCTTTTCACTCGGTGAATTACACCATCTTTGAACCAGGCGTAATTTCCAGACTTGCTGATACTTACCATACCAAATTATACGTTGCGGGTTTCCTCTATAAGGTTGCGTGGTTTGAGCAAGTCTAGGTATAGTTTATTGTTTTTGACCTTTGAACTAATGTTGCTCCAAGCGCACGAAGCATCCCTGATCCATGATGATCTTTGGGTTGGCATCTAGTATTGGGGACCAAAGAGCCAGGAAAGGTTGGGGAAATCATGTCCTAATTCCCAGACCATCTTTCATCGTTCTGCCTAGATGCCTAAATGAATCAAAATACCCGAATCAATCCACCATGTACTTGGAGCGGGAAATTACAAATTATATACTTAACGTAGTGTGTTTCTACCAGTTGCTCCCTGAAATTTCATTAGTTTAAAAAACAAAACAATATATTTTACACTGTTGCAGCTCAATTGTGTTTACAGATTTTGGTATCTCTGACCTGCATTTTACATCATTTTGCCACACCTTGCCATGGTCTAACCATCTGGGTAAATTATAACGACATTGTGGAACGTTTGACTGGTTCGTTTTATTGTTCACTCAGGAATGGACCGCCCCCTCCACCTGTTCGGGGGGGCTTCTCTGGCAAGTGTAAAAGGGTAAATTATAACGACCTCATTACGACCTCACTACAATCATGGTTAGGATTTGTGGAATCATCCCCAAATAGCCCAACATTTCAGGTTCGTAAAATATATCATAATTTACTCAGAACCATTTAAGGCAATATTTTGCGGGGATAGTCCCTTGCATAGGGCTATTTAAAATGGTAGGTACCTCCAAATTAACCTTCCTGAAATGGCCATTGAACCATCCACAAACCATCCATAGATCAGCCAATGTGACATATTCGTATACATATTCTATATACTATATAGTTTACCCAGATAACTGGAGGTGTTAATGTGTAATATCATGTTCAGGGTAGTGAAATATGATAGTTTACTGTACTCAGAAAATATCCCCTTATCCATTCAACCCCATAAAATTATCTTAAGTCCCATTAAATTCCATGTACATATATATATATATATAGAACCCTGGTTTTCTTGTCTAAAAAATAGTGGCGAAGCGGCAAAACCAGGTGCTTTGTGGCGCGCTCTTTGGAGCTGATGCACTGGCGTCGTTATGCAAGTGGGGTATACTATACGACATTTTCGACCTTTGGGGTACCAAAAAGAGCTGCTTGAATGGTTGGTTAATGGTTGGTTTATAGTGGTTAATAGTGGATAATAGTTGTTAGAAAACCTTGGTGGTTTGTAATTAATGTTGGTTAATAGTGGTTAATGATCATTAATCTATGGTTTATAGTTGTTAATCATGGTTAAGAATGGTGGATTTGACCAACAATACTGGATGAATAGTCTGGGCAAATCATAGTAACCTCACTGGAATGATGGTTAGGCTTTGGGGAATTCTCTCAATGTAGCTCAACATTTCAGGTTAGTGAAATATTGCAACTTATATTCCCAGATAAATATCCCATTATCCATTCAACCCCATGAAATCATCTTAAATCCCATTAAAATCAGATAAATTCCATATGTACATAACCGAATAATATATATATATATACACATATTATTATTACATATGATATATTTCGATTTATTATATTATATGTGTGTCATTAATATATATATATATTATATTATTATAATATATATATACACAATATGTATATATATATATACAATATATGTGTATATATACATATTATAATATTTCCATTAATAGACATATATTTAACATATATATTGTTATTATTATCATAATCATTTTTCATTGTTTTGATTATTATTACTATTTTTGCTATTATTGTTGTTATTATTATAATTTATTTATTTGTTATTAATTGTTTTTATTATTATGTACAATATATATATATATATAATAGATACACACATATATACGTGGCTGAGGCTCTGACTTGAACTTTTCGCCGATGATTAGCCATGCGTCGCGCCGACTTTGCAGGTCCGTTTGATTGGATCTACTCCAGTGCCCAAATGGTCAGGTACCGCGGCCCCAAAATTGGTCAGATCGACCACAGACATGGGATGATCTCCAAGGACAGTCATCTTTTTCAATGTGCTTCAACCACCAAGCAGATTAATTTGCATGCCATAGGTGGATTGTTGGGTCCAAAAACTTGACCCAGAACCAAAAAAGTTTCGAAGGGAGGAAGCGTAAAAAGAGAGCCTATACCTTTAAACTTTAAACTTAAACGTGTTCAAGCGCATTTTGGGATGAGTATGCCCCAATTGTTTGTTTATCCAGCAGTACGACTATAGATGGAACATCTCCCATTTAGTTCGATGATTTTCCCAGCGAACGAAACCTCCATTTACGGAGGATTTTCCAGCCATGTTTGATGAAAAGCACATGGGATTTTATGATGGGCAACCTGCCCATGACTTGGGGGTGTGACATAGTTGCACATTGTTCACGGTAAAATGATTGCCATGTCCACACTGTGGGTGTAAACTACATGTTTTTTTTTCAAAACATGACGATCACCTCTCAATTGTGGGTATAACATACAGGTCTTTTGACTGTATAGATATAGGACCCATGTTTGAGGGTGTAAAAGTGTAACAGTTTATTGAGTTTACTGTTCATGAGTAGATTGAAGATAACTTGTGTTTTGAGCAATAACATACAACAACATAGTGACTTTTTCACATCCATGTTTATGGCAGGCGGTTGATACGGCGCCCTGTGAGGGTGTGTTGAATTTTGATATCCCCATATTTTTCGTATGTGCAATGTTTTAGGCGTCGTATCAACCGGCTGCACGGGGGTGGGGTGGGGTGGGGCATGCTAACGTCATGAACGCTTGCGTAACATGTAACACGCCACGCTACGCTACGTCCATGTGCACTTGCGTTGCACATGTACTGCTACGCCGACCACGTTGCTAACACGTCTGCACGTTGCACGGGGGTGGGGTGGGGTGGGGCATGCTAACGTCATGTACGCTTGCGTAACATGTAACACGCCACGCTACGCTACTTCCATGTGCACTTGCGTTGCACATGTACTGCTACGCTGACCACGTTGCTAACACGTCTTGCACTGCCTCACATATATGATGCTACGCTGCTGTAATATCGTCCTGCACTTCCTCACATATATGATGCTACGCTGCTGTAATATCGTCCTGCACTTCCTCACATATATGATGCTACGCTGCTGTAATATTGTCTTGCACTGCCTCACATATATGATGCTACGCTGCTGTAATATCGTCCTGCACTTCCTCACATATATGATGCTACGCTGCTATAATATCGTCCTGCACTGCCTCACATATATGATGCTACGCTGCTGTAATATCGTCCTGCACTTCCTCACATATTTGATGCTACGCTGCTATAATATCGTCCTGCACTGCCTCACATATATGATGCTATGCGACCTCAGAGCCTTCAACAGAAATTGCAGTCAGGAGTGAATCCAATGAGGTTCAAATGGGCGTACTCCTATATGTGGAGACACAACGCCAAGTGTGAAAACATGCTGAATTTAAAGACTTTGAGCGACACCTTGTGGCGTTGAGTGAAAAAGATGCTGTCCGCAAGTTGTTCACATTATACAGACTCAAAAAAAAAACGGAATTTTTTCCATTTTTTTTGGGACATCCGGATGTCAAAAATGAGCGTTTCGTTGAGGCGAAACGCACATTTTCAAATCACACCAAATGAAAACCTCAAAAATCAAATGTTTTTTTTCTCGCCCCTGATGACTAAAATTAGTATTTCGTTGAGGCGAAACACCAATTTCCACTTTGGAGTCATGCGCCTGCCATCGAAAAATGATCATGACTTTGAAATGTCCTTTTACAAAGTCCCACAAATACCACATTTCCAGCTTTTGACGTGAAAATCTTAAAATTAAAATCGGCAACCCCTCACAGGGCGCCGTATCAACCGCCTACCATGTTTATGAGTGCGTTGAGGACACTGGAACATTTTGGAGGTCGAATCATAGGTTGTTCGTCTTAAACATCGGTTCGTCTTTTGATCCAAGAATTGTCACAAACCTCGTGTGAGGCTAGGTCAAAGACACCTATACTCCAAGTGAACATCAATAAAGCTGGTCTATAGCTGGTATATACGAAAATGATGGTAAAATGATAAGTATTGACCCATGTTTCCATGATTTTTTGGATGATTCTTTTCCCATCAGAGGTGCCAGGGCATCGCAGCTGGAATCGAGGCATTGCATTGAGGACGACTTTGTTTCCTTCTTGGACGCCACGGAACTGGAGAAGGCTGGCCATGCCTGGGCCCATCGCAGCTACGCGCGGATGCTGGGACGACAGGTGGGATGGGATGCGACGGGGAAGGACGGGGAGGATGGGCCAGGATGGGATGGGAAGGCCAAAGATGGTGGATTTCATGGAATAAAATAGGGGGATGTTTGATGACCTATTGTTTTTGTTTAAATGATTTCTGTTTGATGAAACATCCCTTTGGAATATGTACCGGCATCTTGATCGGATGAATTCATCGCTGAGACGGGTTATCTTCAACGGATCGTGTTCATCTTGGTTCACGGCTTTTGGTCTTCTATCTTTGAGCTGGTGGTGCGCGAGCTGTGATCGATGAAGTTATTCTCATATAATGGTCGGTGTCGTCGACTCGTCGACGGTTTAGGGATAGGGGTCAAAACATATTTGGTCAGGATCAAAGAAAATCTTTTGAAAAAAATCCTGATCAAAAAACAATACATATTGTTTGAAAAGAACAGGAAATAAGGAGGAAGGAAGGAAGGAAGGAAGGAAGGAAGGAAGGAAGGAAGGAAGGAAGGAAGGAATATCATAGACCCATAGTCATATATTTACATAGTATACATCATCATATTTTACAAAAAAAACATATGTAGAATGATATTTGTATATATATATACCTTTGTTTATCCATATTGATATTTGTCATTTATTACATTTAACATATGTAAGATAGGACTTTCATTTAATATTTACATATATAAACAATAAATAGATAGAAATATAAATATATATCATTATTTATCTACATTTACTTAATACATGTTTTCTAAAATTTATACTATATATATATATATGTCCTTTTTTCATAGAATAGTATATGTATTTTTTCATTGTTTATAATTTGAGTAATGTATATATATATAGGTTAATAAGGATTTTAATATATATATATATGCATATATATATATGAGCAACCGTAAAAACCCCGGCAATACTAAATATGTATTCGACGGACATTGGTTTATGGAAATTGATGGAAATTGTTAAAAACACGAGGTAAGCGATGGGACCTTCCCAAATTAGCGATACCCCTTTTCAAGGTTATGTCATCATATTTCTCTAATATCCACATTAGCGATACCCAAATATCACATATTATTCATAGTTCATCACATATATATATATATATAAATGCAGCAGTTTCCTGCAAGCGATACCCCCCAAGTTTACCATATATCATTGTTGTACAAACGTGTGGTAAGCGATGGGACCTTCCCAAATTTGTGGATGTCCTTTCCGTGAACCTAGGGTTTTCACAATCGCTCATATATGTGTGTAAATACGTATTATATTTACATTGAATATTCTATATACATCATTTTCTTTATCTCTTCGGAATATTTTTGATCCCAGCTGCATTTTTTGGATAGCTGCTCCAAGTGGCAATCTAGACCAAACATCAAAGTCTATTTCTGTCTGAAATATCTTTTTGTTTGATGCCTCCGAGTGGCGAGCTGGAGCATTTTGATCCCCCCCGCTGCCTGATCGAAAAACATTATGGATCAAACAATATATCCAACCCACCATTGAAATATATGTCTGTAGAAAATTGATACCAGTGTTTTATTTTTTGATCCGGAATAATCCGGAATATTTTTTTTGATCCCTCACTCGATCTATAAGCACGAATGATTCATACACATAACTAATCGACGAGTTGTTTCATTCAACTAAAACGCTTGTGCCAGAGACCTCTTTCAATGAAAGCGTTTTGGGATGGATACGAGGTTTCATATGTTCAGCGGCCTTGCTTCGGCGTAAAAATCTTTGGGTGACAGCATGCGTATGTCTTCCAACGCAGTTTTGCTCAAGAAGACCGCTTGCCTACAATTGCCCTCAATCCTGCCAACCGCCCTTGCGCAATGAACAGGTGGATCTTTGAGGGTTATTCTTTCAAACCTCAGAACCCTTCGTGTGGAATCATTGTCCGTGGCGTGGATCCGATCTGCGGCGGAAACCACAAATGGGTGTACGAACAAGATCCACAATACAAGATGGCACCTGGAGGCCTCAGCTATATTGCAGCCAGTGTTTCTGTTACAATTACAACGAGCTTACGCAGTCGCATGTTCAGGGTGAAGGGGAGTATGGAGCTTGCTACGAACATGAGGGTCGATTGCTTTGGAAATCCATTTGCCGAAATGGTATGGTTCATCCAACAGCCCTAACCCCAGGAGCACTATTCGTTCCAGAAAAAACATGGAAGAGATCTTGGGAGTTATGCACCAGGATCAGTTGCCGAATCTTGCAATTCGGATTGCACGACCCTTGTTGGTCGTGTACCACAACCCGTTGCATGACAGAGCTGCCCTGACGAAAGCCGACCGCGCATTCTGTCGCAACTGGACGGCGCATAGGCGCAACTTGTATTTAAAGGAGTTCGTTTTTTTTTGCCTCTGCCAGTGCTTTGGCTCGCTAAGCGCCTTGCTCCAGTCAACGACGTAAATCTTGAATCGCTATAATAAGGACCCTCAGAGAAACCCAAAGAAGTTGTTGAGAGCTTACCCTCGCAAATACCGAGGCCCACTCAAGACACTTGTCGCTGAAATCAAAAAGATAGATCCAGCCGTGTGGCGTAAAGGATGGAACATGGAGAAGTGTCATGAGCTAGCTTTCGAATACGAACGATTTCTGACCAAGAAGCAGATCCAAAGGCCTCTTGACTGTCCGAGGCATCCAAGGTCCAAACGAAAGAGCCATTAAGAAATGAAATGCTCTGAGTGCTGATGAGATATCATCGGTACCTGGAAATCCCCAGGTTGTAATAGGTTGTAAAAAAATGTACTCGGCTGATTTGAGCTCAAAAAACGTATTTGTTGAGGCAAAAACGTATTTGTTTGTTTTCCTTTGGGTGCACGTTGTGATCTTAAGCAATAGTTTTTGGTAGCTAAGGGACTTTCAGTGTTTCTAAGGGTGTAAAACGGTTTTGTTCTGACAGAGTTTCAGCTCACGAGGGTTTCCACTCACACTGCCATCAAATCTGAAGAAAAAGAGCTAGGCAACCAAGATCTACTGAAACATGACTAATGTACAACTCTTGGGGTATAAATGCAACATGTCAGTGCCAACAAATGGCCCGAAGCAGCGCGATCAAAACCAAAAACCACATTGGACTTCATTCCGTGAATTTCCGCGTTTGGTCCGCAAATTTCCGCGTTTGTTCCGGGAATTTCCGCTTTTGTTTTTGGCGATTGTGTTAAAAAAATGGAATTTCACCTATCAACACGGCTGCAAAGCCATGCCACAGGTTGCTCAAGGCCTTTAACCACCCAATCAATTCCAGGTGAGTGCAAGCCACAATGCCCCATTACAAGATTTTGTGGTGGGATGCATCATGGAGTAGTGACACTTGCGGAAATTCTGGCGCAAATGATTCTTTCCCACTAAGTCTTATTTATTCCCTGGCTTCATGACGGCCCCAACGGCCGAACAAGCAAACAATGCCCAGCGTACTCAAAATATGAAAATGTTCAATAAACGTCTTTGTTTCTGAAAAAAATATCAAAAATGCGTTTGTTCGAAAAAACACGGTTTTCCAAACAAATACAAAAATTATGCATACTTATGGCTGCCTAGGTATCATCAATCAACAGCGTCATAGCATCATCACACGAGTGTTTCTCCAACTCTCTTTGGTTTGGACTTTGATGCTCGCAGCTCAGGTGCAAAGCGCGCTGGGAAAATCTCGGTCAAATGTTAAGTGGAAAAAGGCTATCTCGGGTCGGAAAGAATCGACATCCCACTTAAATATCTTTGACTCGTTGATCTTGATATCATTGAACGACCAAAGGTTGTTGGTTATATATTAATTTATTAATTATCCACATACACACATACATACATACATACATACATACATACATACATACATACATACATACATACATACATACATACATACATACATACATACGTGCATACATGCATGCATACATACATACACACATACATACATACACACGTACATACATACATACATACATACATACATACATACATACATACATACATACATACATACATACATACATACATACATACATACACACGTACATACATACATGTATATTTTCTGGAGTCTTATATATGCACCTGAAATGCTTTTAACATAAATCTGGATTCTGGGGCCTGGGTGTTAACTTTTGGGGTGTTCTGGTGTTCTGGGTGTAAAACAGGATTTTTTTAGTGGTGCATGATGCATATCAGACAATATCAAAATGGAGTTTGTTCAATATTATTCATTAGTGGTGTTTTGTGTGTATATATATATACGTATGTGCAGGACATTATGTGTGAGTGTTTGGTCGTATTCTATGTTTTACCCTGGGTCTTCAATAGCATACTAAAGGCTTATGGTGCGCTTTGTCATTTGAACCACTGGTGTCGCAGGTGCCAAGGTCCTTGTCACCGGTTGCACACCTTACACGATTGAAACCAAACCAGGTTTACCACAATTTTCTTCAAGAAGTCTCTGCTCAGGTTTATATACCCAAGTTTTCTCAGAAAAACCCGACCCAGGTTCTTCCAGGTTCTCCCAGACAATTCCCAACCGTTTCCACCAAGCATTACAGCGGCACAATCCTTAGTGGAAACGGTTGGGGATTTCCTGGGAGAACCCGGGAGAACCTGGGCGGACCTGGGTGGACCTGGGCAGACCTGAGGAACAGAGATAAATTTGATGTTCCATGTAATGCTTAAGATTTCAAAGGCGGATTGGGCCATTTTAAGTTAATTCGGATTTTTAATTTTTGAATCTGGTTTTCGACATTCCCGAAATTGTTCTGCACCTTCACACGCATCAAGATCCTTTTTTTGCACACATTGATTTCTTTCCCAAAGCTCTTCCGTATGGCTACTGGTTTGTCTTTGCTGCAAAGCTTAGTTCGGGAAAAAGTGGTTGGAAGGTGAGCCAGCATTTTGACCAACATTTTCTGAATTTCTGCTGCAGGCGTTGCCGCCCCCTTTGGCCTGCAGGTTTGCCACGCTTGAAAGTCCAGTTACAAGCATTAAAAGGGGAAACCAATATATATATATATATGTATATATGTACATACATGCCTTTATTTATATATATGCAGATTTACATATATATATATATATTATTTTTCCATGTATAGAATTATACACATCTGTACTCTATATATATATATATATATATTTATATATATGTGTAAATATATACATCTATGTACATCTATTTAGATATATGCATATATACGTATACATATATATGTATATGTATTTTGATTAGGTCCCCATGATAACCCCCATGATGTCCCCAATAGATCCCAATACGCCACCACCATGTTCATCCATTTTCCCTACATCACCATGTTTCATGTTAAACCCATCATTGTACGCCCACAGTTTTATGGCCCTTTACCAGTTGCAAGTGCTACAAAAACCTCACATATGGAATGTATATATAATCTTATTTCAAAACCAGTTATACCTAAATCCCTATATACAATAGATTGCAGGTGGTTTTCCCTCACCACTATCCTTTGGATCGCGACCGTGAGCACTTCCAACGCGCGGTGCGCAGATGTCGACAGGTGCCATGGAGGGTAACAGGAAAGGCTATGAGTAAAATAGAAAATCATTTTTTTGAAGGTAAATCAACTATAAATTGCTATGTTCAATAGAATGTTTAATTACCAGGGGATTTGACGAAGAAACAAATGGATTGATCTTTTTTAAAAAAATGCGCATGTATATATAGATGTATATATGTATCAATATTCACATGATGGTGATAAACACATATTTCTATATATCATATAGATGTACAAAGTATGTTATCTGATTGAAATTCAGCATATACTCTGATATCATATTGTGTCATACGATATAGTATAATTTCCAAAATATAATGGTTGTTGGTGTAATGTAATAAATGGTAAGTAATTCCATGTGTTCAATAATTTTAGACATTTTTTTACAACACCGTATCATATTTTGTAAAACACATGATGCTGAAATTTAGTTTGACATATATAAATGGCGGATATTTTATCATTTGATATCATATCGTATTATTGTTTGGAAGTTATATCACAGTAATAGTAGTGGTTTTACCTTTCATTGTGGATTTTTGTAAATTAGTATAGTAGTAAATTGTATTACATCGTATTTTGGTTTATTATATTATGTGCATATTGTTTAATTTAAACAACATGTATATTATGTTGTAGTATGCCGTTTGTTGTGCTTTATTTTATATTTGTATTTATAATACCCATACCGTTTTTTTATATTTTTACTATATCATATTGCATTATTTAGTGAACCACCCTATATATAATATAGTCACATCTATTGCAATATAAGACGACAACACTGTAAAACATAATATAGCTGAAAATAGGAAACATCAATAGATTATACTTAGTAGAATAGATAATCAGATAGATAGATAGAACATACACATATATAATTATATAATGATATATATATATATATACATATTTATATAGATAATAAAATTGATATAGGCCGTATCAATGATATAGATCATATAGGTATTATATGTATATTTACATGAAGCACATCACATGGCCATGTTTATTGATATAAAGTATACTTTAGAACCATACAAATATACATTTCGAGAAATTGGTTACAGTGCACCAGTCACCATGGCTAACCGAGGTCATCAGAACTACCGGCTTATGGTTTCATATGTTTTAGACAATACCCTGAACATCAGACTAACCCGCCAAATACGATATTAATGTGTTTCTTATCTGTTCAAAACACCAAAATTTGTTTCGCACCCTTTGGATTGCGATCTGAATGACTTTCCATCAAATGTGTCAAGTCATGCGACCACAGATATGTTGTAAGCAATGATACAGCTGATTTGGTGCAGTGAACCTTGGAGAACAATGCAAAGAAATCACTGGCAGCAAGGGATGGGTCGATACCCACATCTTACAAATCCAGAAATTGCATGAAATGATTCAGAAATGTCATTAAAGATAGCACAAAAGGGACCCCCCATAGAGTAGTCCCATATTTTGTTTTGATAGTGAAACGTTGGCACAGTCCGCAAAGCCGTGGGATGACCTTGTTTATGGGCCAATTTTCCCTGTTTCTTGCAGGTTCGCTTAGGGCTCCTATGGCCCCCTTGTTATTGGATACAGTTTCCAACGGTTTCCAATAAAAATACCCATTGTTTTTTCATCAAAGCTTCCATACCATGTTGGTTTTTGTAGTGCACCGTGCAGGTTCTCCTGTCCGAAGAGAGGAAACTCTTTGTTTTCATGCCGGGGCTCAAGTTGGGTCTGGGTCAGTGGCACCATTTCTGGTCTACCATCCGGTCATGGCTCGAAAAAAATTCCTTGCCGAAATGGATAGAATGGGAACATCATTTGTCAGTAAATAGGAGATGTTCCATTGCCAGGTTTCATTGCCAGAGGCTCATGTGAAGTTTCGGGGTATACTTCAAGTTATGGTCAATTTTTTTTTGGTAAGACAATGATGTTTTTGCATCGGATTTTGGAGTACCATGTGTTTGGCTTTGGCGATGATGTAACCCAATGCCAGCAACATTCAATTCGGGATGGTTGAAAGCCAGCTATTTCTGGCCGATAAGCCATTGCGAATCTATTCGTACTGATATGATTGTTGAGTTTACCGCAAAGGCATGGAGAAATAAAAAAAACTTAATGTCAAAATAGAAGAATCAGTATAAGAAACCAACCATATTTTGATGGTTACATTTTTTGAACCCATTTGGAGTTTGCCTATAATAGGGGTACCCCTATTAGATATAATATGTAATATTAGATATAATAGATTAATAGATATAAATATTAGATATTATCTATAACATTGGATTCGATATAATATATAATATATGCATATTATATAACATCATTTTTCTAGCGTTTTACATTTCTATTTTATAGTGTGCATTGTTTTAACTCAATGATATGGAAAACATTTGTTGAGGTGTCCCCGCCTGTTTCAAATTTCAGCAGTTGACCCGAGCCCAAATCACCATGCTAGAAAAAGGGATGCGAGTCAAGTAAGAAACCTCATCTAAAGTAGAAAAAATGTGCTATAAGATGCTATAATGATCCCAACACAGCGAACGAACTAATCTGTGTTTTCCGGAGATTGCATCGCTGTGCATTTGCCAAGGCATTTGGTAACATCTCGGAAGGAGCTGGCAAATGTCTCTTGGCAAATGTCCATCACACCAGAGGCTTGCTCGAAAACATGTTCCCTTTGTAGACTTGAAAACACATCCATTTATATGGGAAAGTCTCCGGCTGCCACATTTGATTTCCGGCAAAAATCATCCCCCTATTGTGTTTAGATATTTCTCCCCGGCATACCCTTCTTTAGAAGAAATCCATAGATCTCAGCCATTTTGCTATGGACAAGACAGGACTCCATCGTGTTACCCTCTGGTAAACTAACATAGCCGCTATTGAACATGGCCATTTTTAGTATTTTTAGTGGATTTACCTATTAAAAACGGAGATTTTCCACAGCTATGTTAGTTTACCAGAGGGTCACTGAGATAGCCGGTTCACAATCCTTCTGGCGGTTACTTGGTAAACAGAATGCCAGAAAGTATCCACCGGTCGCCAACCATTCACCGGCATCTTAAAAAAACATCACCATATACCCTCTTGTTATTTAACATAGCCATGGAAAATGGCCCATAGAAATAGAGGTTTACCTATTAAAACTGCTGGATGTTCCATGGCTATATTAAATAGCCAGATGGTATTAGTATTAGTACAATGTGGGGCCCCCAAACGATAGCTAAGTCGGTGGACATAACTTCAATAACTATGGTTTATGAGACTTATACTGTGTATATATATATATATAACTATTATAACTATAGAAACAATGGGGTTTATAAACCAAGAAACATAACTGGGGGGCCCACATATAGAAGGCATATACCCAACAAGCGAGATTTGGGATGATTTGGGATGGTTTTTTATGGATCACAGTATTGAAGATGACAAAAAGAAACAAATACTCAAGATATGCTGAAAGTTATACTTACTTTGTGCTCCTCACTCTGCACTCTGAAGTCTACACTCCACGCATTTCACTGGACAATCCTGAAGGCGAAACCGCCCAACCAAACACACGCTGTAGCAGCAAGACTCTCTCTCACACTCTGCGCTGCACACTTCATACGCAACATGACACGCTCTACACTCTAGAATCAACACTGTAAACTTGACATTCCGCCTCGTCACTACACTACAATTCACACTCAACACTTTCCATTCCACAGTCCACACTTTCCACTCCACACCCAACACTTTCCACTTTCCACTCCACACTTCACACTCCACACATCACACTTACGCACTCCACACTTCACTCTCTCCATTTTCCACTACACACTTCACACATCACTCCACACTCCACACTTCACACTCTTATCCTGATTGCCACGAAGTCCCACGCAGGCCACACGAAACGATCTTTTGCAACATCAAAATATCACGTTTTTTAGCAATTCCTCTAGGCAGAGCGAGGCACGATTAGAGCCCCGCGACACGCAACAACTCGCAACGCATTGGGCAAAAACTGTGATGGATTTGAGCTGCCCAGCTATGGAATAGTGGAACATGAGGAACATGAATCATAGTGTATTGAAGTGTATTTTCTATCCCACAAGGAGACGTTTGCGGTGTTTTCCAGTAGCTCGATTTTTTTTTATACTCTGTATAACTGGGAATGTGGAATGAACATCTAGAACTGCAAACTACGATGATGTGAACATTTAGGTACCAGGGCTTTGATGCATCAATCTTTGAATGAAACACTTAAGAACGACTTGGTGTAATTGGCTGTAATCAGTCGGATTTCTTCCCTGGATAATTTTTGGTGCTTTCGTTTCTTGCAAAAAAAAGTTAAGGCATTTTGCAGTAGAGATGAGCAAGAAGAGAGATGAGAAGATTGGCCCACAACATGTGACACACATTACACCAACATCGTCATTTACATGGCTTCCTGAACCTCATGCTCCAGCTTTCACTGACCTAGTTCTGGCCGATGTCCAGCAGAACTTTGGTGAAATGATGGTGTGAAAACAGATGAATGTGTCTTATTGTAAGGTTGAGGCAAGAAACATCACATCAACCAATCAAACTTGGTTGTAAAATCCCGCAACTATAGTTCGATGATTTTGCATAATTTTCACATTAAACCAGGACTCCGCGATTCTCCAGCTAGCCATGAGCAATGGAAATCAAGTTGGCACAGCCGAGTTGCATATGTTGAAGAAACCTTGCACCTATGAAAGGAGGTCAAAAAGGGCCAATTAGGAAATAGCAGATGTGTTTCATTTTGAGATATTTGACATTCTTGATGTTCGGTGACACTGGAAGGGTTTCTTGCATGAACCTTTTCATATATGTACAGATATATATATATATATATACATATAGAAAGTAGGTATATGCATACAGTATTTATAGATACCTGACATGCATACAGAAGTCCATGTTGGAGAGATTTTTGTTTGGTGAGGTACGCGATGTGGAGTCCAGTCATGGGAGCAATCTGCGAGAGGTCCAGGTGGGATTCGGAGAACGTCCAAGAACGAAACTTTGTCGAAACTGGGTCAATTCTACTTACTAGTAGCACACACACACACATATATATATATATGTATATGTATATATGTGGTTTGGGACAAAACTCAAGTCTCACTGTTTTCAACGCTGAGCATGTTTGGGTTTCGATTTTTGAAGTTCAATCACCGGGTGTCTCCAATCAGATGGGTCAACTGGTAGAAAGTTGGAGGGCAATTATGCAAGCAGTTCTGGGTATATCCCATGAATTCCCATGAATTCCCATGATAACCCGGGTTGTTATGATAGAACCGACACTGACAGGGGTACCTTACCGTAGAAGCAAGAATATTTGGATCCATGCGAACCAACACTGCTCATCTACGTTAAGGATTTGTTTCTCCCAAAGATGAAGTGTATGCGATTTTGACAAGTCCTGGAACAGTTAAGAAATGACCAGACAACAGACAACAAGTGTCGGTGCTTACCTGCTGAATTGTGTGTATGTTTCGGTTTTTAAGCATTTAGCTTCTAGAGTATAGGTTGATGTTCCCAGGTCGCAAGGTATCATTTACATGTGTCTCTCTCTCTCTCTCTACGCTTTATTTTCAAGCCCTGGTCCTGTCGTTGAAGAACTTTGCGTGAGGTTCGTATCATGGGTATCCTATAATCCATACAATTCTTTGAAGGCAATTTCTCAAACAGGAATGGGTCAAAATCATTCAACACCTATTATTGTTTGCATGATGGTACCATCGTTGTGGGAATGAAGATCCATAAATCCCAGCTATTTTGATGTCAACAGAAGGAAATTCCATGAGTTTCGATGATCTCTGGTTATCTTCTGGTGACAGGAACTCTTTCAGACGCTCCAGAGCAAGGCGCTAATTGTGGCTGGATTTTCATGGGTTTCTGGGGGGATTGGATACAGCCCGAGAGCTGGTTAAGAATCCGAAAGCTTGAGGACCAGGGTCCCTCAATTTCTTATTTTTGAATGCAGGCAAATTCTTAGAGCATTCTTAGTTATGTACTGCATGCATCTGCAAAAATTGGACCGAGCTTAAACGAGGTAACGAGGTGATTTGACAAGAGGCATGCGAAACAATATTTCTTTAGAGCCTGAAAAATTGTTTTTTGCAAAGCTGGGCTTGCCTGAGTTTCATTAGAGCAGCGCGGAAAAAAATGGAGCCTGAACAAATGATTTTTCACAGCTGCAACCCATGCTAAACCCAGCCCTTTGCAGCCAAGGCAAAGAGAGATAATGAGAAGGCAAAATTCCTTGGAGGCAAGGTTCCTGTAGGATAATGTTCAGACTGTCAGACTTCAGGCTTGAAGGTTAGAAATTCAATTCTCCGCCGTGTACTCTTTCACCATCTAATAGATATTGGGGAAAACAATGTTTCAGGTCCCCAAGCCGATCCACATATTGATTTTGCGTGGATTGGAAGCAGTCCAAGCATGCGTGAAAAAACATTCTTTCGGAGCTTGAAAAATTGTTTTTCTGCAAAGCCTCAGTTTTCTTCAAGCTATTGGGGAAAACAATGTTTCAGGTCCCCACGTCTATCCACATATTGATTTTACGTGGATTGGAAGCAGTCCAAGCAGTCCAAGCAGTCCAAGCAGTGATTTAAGAGTTTGGCAATCCTATTCCAGGGTCCCTCAAACTCTTAAAGTATTATGTGTTTGGTATAGCTGCAAATATGCAGCCCGCCTTGGATTCGAGCCCCTCAATTTCTTATGCAGTGAATTCTTGTACAATACTCAAGCTGTATTTGGAGGAAGGGGTTTTCATAGGGATTAAACAAACGGTTACATTGGATTTGGGATTATTAGATTATTAGATATTTTATGAGATTAGATATTTAGATATATTTAGTTTATTTAGTTCGTTGACCAGGGAGACACATTCGAATTGGATTTTACCGGAACTGGGGCATCTATCTACCCAAGCAAGGGATCATTTCTTCCGCAGGGCCTTCGGGCCGTCAGGTGAAGATTTCCGTGGGATATCTATCAGTTTACCACATTAAGAAAAGGTTAGCTAATAGCAAATTGCTTTTATTAAGATTACAGTATTGGATTGCTCATGGATGATCCACATAGTTCTTATGTATATATATATGATTATATATGTATATATACATATCATATATATATATACACATAATCATAGGTCGGATGGTCCTTGGGTTATTTGGATCTGTGTAGAGTAACTATGTGTGCATTGCTTATGTTATTTCGATCTGGCATTGCATGCTATTGGGAACACCGGAAGACCGCGCTGAACAAAAACATCCCAGCCTTGCAGGTGGCAAAGTTTCATTTGCTGGTGGTCTATGTGATCCAAGGTGGGATCCACGGATCCATGTCGATACAGGTCATGCTGTAGCTCTGTGATTTCAGGTCCGATCGAAATCTAGTTCCACCGTATGTGGTGAAAAACATGGTTTAATCTAGGCTCTAGACCATCTTGGTCTAATCTAATCTAGTCTAGAATCTATGATAAACATACCCAACAGTGCCTAGTTTGTAGCGTTCATCTCTTTTTGCTTTCCATGTTCGATGATATGACCCACAAACAAGGGGCAAAATCTGCGCAACACGTGGTTCATCCCAAACAGTGGCCCAGTAATTTAGGAACATATACCAACATTTTGAATTCATAACCCATATGATCCATATGCTCCATGGAATATTTACCTGCATTTACCCCACAAATGGCTCAGTCATGTAGGTAAATATACCAGCACCATGGGTTGCATATGGGTAAATGACACTGGCCTTTTTGATTTCCCGGAAATGCTGCCGGTGAGCTGACGGAGGAGCATCAAAGTGGTCTCGGGGTGCTTCCGAGTTGTCTTGCAGGCCGGTTTTGGCCCTGTCGGCCGGCCTTGGGTGAACTATGATCATGGGATCTTGAGTGTCCCATATATGTTTTTCCCTAACATGGGGCAATCCAAAATCTTCCAAAAAAAAGGTGTATCCATGGGGAAACCAACGGTTTGGGGATCATCCAAGTCATTCCCCAAGATTTTGTCCACAACATTGGTTCGTCATCCAGAAGGGAGTTGATGTTGGTCAGTGGGGTTACACCAAGAATGTGCATCCAACCGGTGTTCAGACATATTATGTGTTTATCAGTTATAGATATATCATGTAGGTGATGAACCAATTACTCCGTGGCATGCCCAAATGTATGCGTATGTGTATGCACGTTTTGTTTTGTTGTGTTTTCCTTTACGGTGTTTTTTCTATGTATTTGTTTGTGCTTGTTGTGTATTTGTATACATGTGCATGAATGTAATGTATGTAAGTAATGTGATGTAATGTAGTGTAATGCAATGTAATGTAACGTAATGCAATGTAATCGAATGGAATAGAATGGAATGGAATGTATGTATGTATGTATCTTATGGTATCTTATGGTATCTTATGGTATCTTATGGTATCTTAAGGTATCTTATGGTATCTTATGGTATCTTGTTGTATTTTATGTTGTCTTATGTTATCTTATGTTACCCTATGCTGTCTTAGTTTATCTTATGTTATTTCATATTATATTGTGTTTTCTTGTGTTATATTATATTGTGTTGTCTTTTGTTATATTGTGATATCTTGTGTTATAGTCTGCTTTATTATGTCATATGTTGTCATATTGTTGTATTAATGATGTCTTATGTTACCTTATGTTGTCTTATGTTATCTTATGTTATCTTATGTTACCTTTTGTTTTGTGTTGTTTTTGTTATGTGATGTACGTACGTACGGACGTACGTAATGTAATGTAATGTCATATAATGTCATGTCATGTAATGTAAATTGAATGTACATGTAAATATACATGTAAATCAAATGTAAATGTAATGTACTGTAATGCAATGAAATGCATTGTGATGTAATTTATGCATGTATGCATGTATGCATGTATGCATGTATGCATGTATGCATGTATGCATGTATGCATGTATGCATGTATGCATGTATGCATGTATGCATGTATGCATGTATGCATGTATGTATGTATGTATGTATGTATGCACATATGTATGGATACATGTGTATTATGCGATAATATGTGTATGTTGTATATATATATATACACGATCGTACGTGCACGTATATATATATATATATGTGCATTTGTGTACACACAATTGAAGATGTGTTTGCATAATATCATATTTCTATATACGTAGTATATTATATATGAATGTAAAGCATGTTATCATTTATGTATACAAATACTATATCCAATCATATATTGTTGAGTCTCCAGGCAGCCTGTGCACATTACCAGCTCCGAATCTTCGTGTCTCGACAGTGGCTGGGAGATGTGTGGATGAGTGTTCGGATTACTTGTCTATGGTGCAAACAAGTATTGATATATCAGTTGTATCAATGTAACATGGATAACATTTAAAATATGGCATTTAATAAACAATGAAAACATAGAATATACATTTTATAATGCATGAATTATATGACATACAAATACACATACCAACATAATATATACACTAGAATCCTACATGGATTATAAACATGACCATGTATGGCATCATTTACCTCATGGTTGACTGAAATTTGCCAGTCGCCCTATGCCCTATGAGCTCAGGATGCAGAAACTCAACATCTTCGAAGCTCATTGTCAGGGATCCTGCACCGGTCTGAAGTTCAAGGATCCCGGGGATCGGGACGTTGGGACCTCCACGGTCTCATCCTGAAACCCGAAAAGATCCAGTTATGTCCATTGATTGGTTATGACTATGGCTATAACGTGCATAAAACAATGACAAACCACCCATGACTGGGAATGGTACGTTTATACCACCTATAAACATGGTGATGACTGGGGGATGGTTTATGACATTGTTTTAACCACATTAAGTAAGATTATACATTCCATAAATGGGGTATTTATAACTGGTATGTTGGGCCATAACTGTAGATTTCCCGCATTTTCCTGCTCCAATCGGCAACTGGAAGGAACCTCATGATCAGATGTTGCTGCAAACATTGCTGCGCTCGGCTGGGGGCCCTTTGGACCCGGCTGCGGATCCATTACCAGAGCTTCGGCGGCCGGTGATGGAAAGCAAATCGGTATCACTGGGTTTCCCCTGCAAAGCATATTATAACGACCCCTACCTTAAGAAATTAATCCAGGATAATCCAGGTGGACATTTGGGATTCCAAATATGTTCAATTTTGTAGTGCATTTGGGTGCACCTTTTTGGATGGAGTTGTATTCTGTAGACCCCTTTTCTGCGCAAAATCACTTACTCCCACCTTCACCCTGAATGAGCAAGAGGATAGTGTTAATATTTTTTGGCAAAAAATCGAAGAACATGATTTGGGGTCCACCTAACCCAAAAAAATGGTAGTTCCCCACTCTTGAATTAAAATTTGCCTGAAATTAGTTTTAGGTGGGTGGGAAGAATACCATTTATTACATCCAGGTGGGGGGGAAGTGCTGCCGAGCAAATTAATAGAGGTACCTTGAAGCAGTAAGGACCCTTGGATTAATACTTTGATTAATGTAGGTGGGGGACCAACTCTGGAGACCCTTAGGAGGGAGTCATACATTATATACGACGTGTGTATATATATATATATATATGTATGACTAAAATATACTATAATGAAGGATTCCCCGGTTCTTCGGGGTCTTTGGTGGTCGTACTATGACTGTTGGGAATATATGATAAAATGTAACGCACATGTGGTGACGGGATATCACCATTTTCAGCTCAAGAATCATCAACGAACGGGGAAAATCCATTCCCAAATTAGATTCTCCGAAAACTACAGACGGATTTGCCCAGGAACGTGTTCAAGATTCCTCCGAATCAAAGGCGTTCAAACCATGCAATTCTAGACGCAATTTGACCATCTAAGTCTTAGGTATTTTGCGTGGGCAAGGTTAGCAACATATTCCTTTGAGGATGTTTCCAGCTCTCCTAGTGTCCTGTGTGCAGTTTCTTTGCTCAAGATTCAGGATTCACAGCAGCAATGGGTTTCCATAGCACAGTTTTGGGTGCAGAAAATTCACCTGAAGGGATTTCTGCAGAGTTTCCCAAGCCAACCACACAATGACCTCAGCTGCGTCACCAAGGATCGTTTTCACATGCAGTCGCAGCGGCGGAAGACGAGGCATTGGAGTAGAATTTAGACTTCCAAATAGAAGTTTCCATAAATGGGTTACCCCAATAGCTGGATGGCTTATAACGGAAAATCCTATTAAAATGGATGATTTAGGGGTAACAAAATAAATAAGCCAATTTTTTGTAACTCGAAGTAGCCAAGAGTCTGATCACTTCCATTTGATGTGCATTCCAGTTCATATCCATGGGACGCAACTCCATGTATTCCTGGTTGGAATACAAAGACCTCCAATCTCGCAGCATCGCCAAAAATATCTCGAAAACTCTATAAGCAATTAAATATCACCATATTCATATATCATCATATCATAGTTTATAATAAAAACTGATGGTTTCAAGTTTCATGTCGATATTTTCCGCCCCCACACCAACCCAATGCCAATGACGCCGCCAATTCCGGGCAGGATTTGCTTCAACCTGGAAGCAGCGAGCGCTGCACAGACGGGCACCAAGACGGTACATAGCCCACAGCGCCGGAAGCGGCGCAGGAAGGTGACTGTAACGAAGGCCCCAACACCTGAAACTGATGTATAGAACCAGATGAACCAGCAATAATGGGGAGGAAGACCAGAATAAAGATGATATGAATTCATGATTTTATAATGGGTTGGTAATAGCTTGGCTGGCTTTGAATTTGTTCCAATAGTGGGTAAGAAAGTTCGCATTAAAAATCTTTGGCAAACCAATTAACATGGGGATATAACTTGATGTACCGCAGCCACATAGTCATGGTATAGATGGCCCATAGAAATAGATGGTTTACCGTTTTCAAGAATGGTGGATCTGTCCATGGCTATGTTAAATAACCAGATGGTATATATATATATTAATGTATTTATCATGTAGTCTAGGCCTGGCTTGGATGTGTATTGAGTTTAGTCCAACTTATTATTGGGGTGCTATGTTTATCCGAGTGAATGCAACGGCCAAGGCTTGCAGGGTTTTGAAACAAGACAAACATAGAAATAACCAATGAACATGGGGATATAACGATTACTCATTACCATCAGGAAGCGGGTAGAATCAATCAACGTGGCGAGCGTGTTGATTTTTCTCGTTCTGGCTCACTGAAACACCAGCTGGTTTCAGGGGGTCAAACCACCCGTCAAGATGGGGATGGTGAAAAAGTTGTTATCCCATGGTTTGTAGAGAAACCATGTGGTAAACTAACATAACTATCGAACATGGCCCAGTCGAAATTCGAAATAGTTGATTTTCCCATTAAAAATGGTGATTTTCCATTGTTATGTTAGTTTACCCGAGGGTAATTCAACCTAGCAATGACGCTGCACCATTTAAAATATTGGAATACGTGAATACGCAAATATCACATTACATATCTCGTATGCATTTGGCATGATTTATGTTTCCCTGCCATATTAGATGACCTGAGAGTACTGAGTACTGATATATCCCGAGTCCATGGTTTCAGTTGATATACTTCATGGTGTCATATGATGTCAGTATGATTATCCATGCTGTCAGTCGAGTCGATATCACCATGGTTTCCGTTGATCTTCCCCGTGTTGGGGCCAGGTCGCAGGGGTTGGCGGCCAAAAGCGGAAAGCAGACGTTGAGGAGATGGAAAATTCATCGGCAATGGGAGAAACTCAAAGACTGCCCCCCAACATGGACCGGAGAATCATTTGCTGATTCGAAAGTCATCTGCGAGCTATTTAAGGGAGGGTCTATGTTAATCCCATCCGCCCAATATTGAACACCCCCTAAACGAAACCGTGGTTTAGGGAATTTCCACATTGGAACCATTTAGGGGGGGTGTTTTAATATTAGGGGGATGGGATTTATTGGGATGGTGGAAACCGACATTTGGAGAAATCTCAGCTGCCAAAAATCAGCTGACTCGATGTGATCTATGGGAGCTGATGGCTGGCTGACCCCTGAGGCACATAGTAGTTGCTGGGAAGGCAAGAGCACTTGCCGGGTATACATCTATCATGTTTAAACATATATACATATATATATTGATATTAATGCAAATAATTATATATATATACATGTATTTATGTGTATATATATATATATATGTACACGTACACTGATACATAAATATATATATATATAATCATATGTACATATGTACATATATACAAACATACATATATGCCTTTATATATGTATACATATAAATATTTACACATATTATATGCATACACATATACAGTGGTTTTGTTTGAATATGGGTTTTACCCCCACATGACTATTTAAATTGGGAAAATTGAATTAGGGGTACCCTATTGCTAGACAAACCAGGTACCCATCAATCATCAGAGAACGTCGCTCAAGTTGGCTTGTCCGAAATGGCGGCCCCCAATCCACTGGTGTAGAGACGATGCTGAGACACAGATCGTTGCAAGTCATGGTAAGAAACTCTTTTGAAAAAAGGTAATGGGTCTTGGAACAAGTTATGAAATCTCATCTGAAATATATGTTATTAATATATATATATATATACATACAGTATATATATATATATATATATATTTGGTGATCTCCTGAATCGCCATCAGCTCTTTTGTGTTTGGTCGCACCAATCCTTGGGGAGCTGCACCTTACGAGGACGCAAAGAGAGAAGATGATGACGTGGTCATCGTCTCCGTTTCAACGACTGTGCGGGATCCCAGTGGAGAAAATTCTGGGATGATACCCGGCCTGGTAATCTACTATTATAGATGGAAAATGGGATAGAACATGGACTTAATGTGATCTATAGATGGGATTCTAATGGGATTATACCCTCTGTTAAACTAACAGTTTGCTAACTGGAAAATGCCCCGTTTAGTTCGTTGATTTACCCATTCAAAATAGTGATATTCCATAGTTATGTAAACGTTTACCAGAGGGTAATGGATGATATGGGGCAATTTGGATGACCCAAAATCAAGTGCTGGATTTATCATTTCCCAAGAAACAAAATATTGCATTTTTTAAATAGCCATGTATACCCGTGATATCAGCATGAACGCACCATTTAGAATGTTACACGGGATTTTTTTTACCTTGTGACATTTGTAAAATGTCCATCTATGGTACTTTCGATGGTTTGTATGGGTATGTCGGTATAGCCAGGTATAGATATAGCCAAGAAATTAGCCAGGTTGAAGACATGATAGAAATGGTGATAGGTTTGATGTAAGGGTATGTCGGTAAACATATGTAAACAGCGTATATATATATATATATCCAAAAAAATGCCAGGTTGATGAAGACATGATAGACATTGATAAATGCTGATAGACGTTGGATTTTGATGATAGACGTTGGATTTTGATGATTTTGCACAGTTAGGGTCATTTATTAGTTAAAAGTGATAAGTGGTTATAAATAAGATTTTATATGTTCCATTAAATGGGATATAAGTTACAAGTACGTGTAACTGATATATCGGGCCATAACTGCAGGTGCTCAAATTTTTGGACCACCATATTTCAGGATGAAGCCAACCATCCCCCCTTCAAGGCAATCCCCTTCCGAATTCAGGTGAAGCCTGGGGTGACCAGCGTGACAAGTGGGGCGCCGGAAGTGCGTGCGGCGCCTGTGGGGAAGCACCTTGGTGAAACAATGTGTTTTTTTTCACAGATTTTGAATGATGTTTCACATGGGATATATTATTGCATGTTTTTTTTGTTGGATTTATGATTATGTATTCGTTTCATTACATGATTTTTTTTGGATAAGAGATGGATAATTCTCCCCTTGCAGGTTCCGTTCAAAAATCACACGCCCCGGGGCCCAAAAACATTCTGTAACTGGACTCCTCGAGGCCACGTGGTGTCTTGGACATCCGGGTGGCACTGCGTTCGCTGCGTTCAGTGCCGGGGGTAACGCGAACGGAATCACAACCGCAGCAGGGGAAAAAGAGACTGTGGGAAGATGTAGAAAGTGACCATGAAAGATGAGGATGCAACCTCCAGAATAGACCCAATGCCAGAAATGGATGGCATTCTGTATAAGTTTTTGTAAGGTAAATTTATGTGGAGCACAAGGCTAGAATGATCTAGAATGTGTAAACCTCATGTTACCCGGTGGTCACCCCTATGTGCTTACCCGTCACCCCACCCAATTCCCTGTTCCGGCGATCAAGTGTGGCGATGTTCCGAGGTGTACAACAACGAACACGGTATCCAGATCCACTTTCCGCTGGCGCTCTTCAAAAAACTCAAAGGTGCCGGGACTGGTTACCCTCATGTTCGGTGTATGCACCTTAACATAGAACACGATAAGACCCCTGTGATGATTGTTTGATACTGTGGATATATTTTGTCCTGGCATAGATTTAACACAATAAAAAACAGTTAGTTTGGGGTCACTAGTTTTGGACAAACTCATGTTTCAGGACTTGACCAATCAATCATATACCGAATGGTGTGAGCCCTTGAACGATTTTCCTCAAATAATTAGACCACATGGGATAGGGCATTTTCTGGTATCAGAAACGTCGTGAACTGGTACAAGTTGTGTAGCACACAGTCATCTTGAGAAACTATTGCTTCCCAATAGGAAAAATGGTCTTCTTGATGCCATACCCATCCCCATGGGTACTCCAATTTTAGACCACAGCCATATCAACGACGCTGATTGGGTTGAATTGAAAGCTAAAGTCTTAGGAAACAGGCAACAGAACTGGGTGAAACCAGAAACCAGACCCAACAGAAACAACGGCACTTGTGCACAGGCGTGAGATTCTGCGCATGTAGTCACACATGGCATGCGGGGTTTCAAACGTGTTTTCAATGGCTCCGCGGACGTAGACACTTCTTCGCCCAAAAAAACACGCAAATAGACTCAAATGATCATAAACGCCTGGGCGCTTGCACAACTATTCTTGCTTAGCATGTCCAGTTTTTGTTGGTTACACCCCCACTCCATATACATCCCCATTATTCCATGATATGCGTATTGGTTAATCCATTGTTGGTGGTTTAACATCCCCAGTTGTTGGTTATAGTTAATAAGTTATAGCACTATATATATAATTATATATATAATCATTGTACCTCCATTACAACGTCAAATGAATTTATGGGGCTGTAACCATTACCATCTGGTTATTTAACATAGCCATGGAAAGATCCACCATGCTATTAACTTCGGTAAACCATCTATTTCTATGGGCCATGGCTTAACCATGGCGAACTGTTAAATAACCAGAGGGTATTTCGTTATATTTTGTTGGCTATTCCCCGGTTATGCTCCATCTGGAACCCACACAACCAGAAATCGCCACGCTGGGGAAGCCCAAGTACCATTTCTGACTATGCACTGTGGCCCCCACAGTTATTTTTGTTGGTTCATAACCCCCATGAATACTCTTATAACATGTTAATTATGTGAGATAATTGTTATTGGAGTTATAGCCAGTTATGGCCCTTCAAATCCTAGTGATAAGTTCTTACTAGTATATAACCCGATTGTATGGAATGTATTTCATCTTATTTAATTTCAGTTAGAACTGAGAAACGGCCATATATATCACTGTATTCGCCAACCTTCGGGATTTCGCAGCCCCGCAAACAAGTCGTTGGTCAATGAGAAGCGGCCCCAGGCGAATCCTTGACCTTGGCGGATTTGCAAGATGTGAATCCCAAGGCCCAGGGGCCCCAGGGCTTGGACCGCCAAATGCAACCAATAAAAGGTACCACCGACAAAAAAAAGGCAAAGTAAAAAAAAAAAAACAACATAACTATGGTCTAAGTATGGATATGACTATGATATGACTATGATATAGCTATGATATAACTATGATAACTATGATAACTATGATAACTATTCCCATATGCTCCATGTATAGTATATTTACCTACAAAACTGGGCCATAAAAATGGGATAAATGTAGAAACATATATTCTAGCACCATGGGTTGCATATGGGTATTGGAGATGTGATATTTTGATACCTTGAAAATTCTTGAAATACTTTTTTTTTCAGAAATTGTTTTAAGTTTGAAAAAAGGATACCAAATTTACCGATACCTCTCAATCCATACTGTAATGTTTTCCCATACTTTCAGTGAACAACATAAAACAACAACCGTTTTGAGGTATATGCGACTATGTACAAACTCAAATGTGGAAACAATCAACATTGGCAAGATTTCTGAAGGAACAAAGTAAATCCTTGAATTTGTTAGGGATACATTGATCCATCATCACGTTTGTCACAGGCACTTTGGGAGGTCAACAGAACCTGCGATCCTCAAGCTGTCCGTCGTTTTGTGAAAGGCCGTCTGATTAAAAAAACTAAACAACACCAGTTAAAGAACCATATATGTATGTATACGTTGATCATCTTTCGATTTCGTCTATGTTTAGCAATTTGTTTGATGTACATATATAATCATATATTAATAATTTAATAATATACTATATTATTATCATATATATATATACATGTAATCAAAAAAAAACGATTTGATTGCCAACTCTTGGGAGATTCTTTTGGGGGTCAGTGCGACGATGCGCCAAAGCTGCGAGGTTTGGATGTCGATGCAGCAGATGTTGGCTTGGCAGCCGGCGAATCCCGCCGACGCCAACCAGGAGTTTGAGGCAGCCGTTGGATTGTCGATGTGTGGGAGAAAAAGGCAATGGTTTAGTGGTTTATAAAGATCAATGGGTATTGGTTTAGTGGTTAAACTTTGGAACACTTTACAAAGGTGGGTTTTATGGTTTATAATGGGCAATGGGCAATGGTTTAGTGGTTAAACTTCAGAATACGTTTAGATTATTTATGCCCAATGAATTAGACATAAACCATCAATCATATATTGAGTCCAACGGTGGATATTCCATTCGACTCGTCATTGGTCCAGCCAATATGGCCAGCTCGAAATCGTGGATTTACCCATTATGTAATAGCATGGTGGATCTTTCCATAGCAAACTGTAAACGTTTACCAGACGGTAATGTTGGATTAATTACTAGTCATTGGCATCCATAGACTATATTTGCCACATTCTTGCTGTATGTTCTTCGGCTGCATGTTGATGATGTTAAAAATTGACCATCTCATTGGAGCCGAAGATGTCATCCCTAGGTCACGTCATGTCACTGCCATGTTGCGAAATTCGGACCCACACCTTTGTCACTGCCATACCTAGACTCTCCAAGTACCTCGAAAAGTGATGAAAACTGGGCTAATGCACCCTTTGTTTCAGGATTTGTCTACCAGTTCTCATGCGTCCTTGGAGGGTTTAAACATATATAACCATCGTAGGTATCACCCAGGATCTTTGCACCTTATCCGAAGGACACCTTTTGCCTCAGCTTCTCCGCTTCCTATGACTACTTTGGCTGCTTGGATGAGTGTTGACGATATGGTGATTTTCAACCTGCTTAGTTCTGTAGTGATATGCAGGACAGAATCATAGCAAATATAGGTGTGTGCCGGTTTGTAAATTTGTGCAAAAATGAGGAATTTCATGCACACACGGGACACATGATCATAGTAGTCAATTCGAATTCGGGGGATAAATGTACTGGGAGAAAACAGATACCACACGATGGAGAAGAAACTGATGATCAACCAGTTCTTTTTTTGTTTATGCCATGTGCAGACAAACCACGACAAACCCATCGCGGTGAGTATACGGGTGATTACGGGTGAATGTCCATGTCGACGGCTCACACATGGACTGGTTTGGGGCTAACCAAGCTGTGCACACACCTTTGGATCCTTTGGTACATCATTGAGAATCATGATCATTGCTCCAATCTTTCATATATGTTTGCATTGTTTTGCAGCTTCTCTCCCCATCAATCCATGATCAATCCATTATCAATCCATGATCCATCCGTTTGTCTCCATTCGCACTTTTCTCAGTTGTGGTTATTGATGAGTAATGACTGTTTTTTTTTTAAATGTTATAAACAATAATATTAAATATATTACTGGATGGTGATTTCAAACATGTTTGACTTTCCATTTCATATATGGGATGTAATCCTTCCCATTGACGAACTCATATTGTTCAAGATGGTTATTGCACCACCAACCCGATGATGATATATGTACCCTCTGGTAAACTAACAGTCTGCTATTGAACATGACCATTTATAGGTTATATTAAACATATTAATCACTATTAACCACTACTAACCACTATTAAACATGAAATATCATAATGCCATAATCATGAAATATCATAATGCCATATATATATATAAGTTCAGCAAATATCAACATATTCAAAATTGCCAGAGCGTACAACTGTCATCAGCTCGGCATCGCACCAAGTATCCAGCGCTGGCCCTCCGGCATTGAGGTGAGCATCGTGACGTCGACTTGAAGCCGGGTGGTGCTGACATTTCAGTGACCTTTGACACGCGACAGGAGTATGTGACTTGGCTGTGGAGTTTGGAGTTTAGCCAGCGAAAATGAATGGTGGATATTTTTTTTGGCTGATTGGTGGTTTGGAACATGCATTTTATTTTTCCATATATTGGGAATAATCATCCGACTAATATTTTTCAGAGGGGTTGAAACCACCAACCAGTTGGGATTTATTTGGACAAATAATAGCCGCAATCGAAAATGGCAATGGTATAATCCCTTGCAAATGGAGGCGTTAATGGGAAATTTGTCTACCTCAATGGGTATTTTCCGGGAAAGAAGCCATTATTGATTACCGGAGAATAACATGAATAAAAGGTTTTGCAGCCGATAGGGGGTCTTTGGAATTGGATTCTAGGGTCCTTGGTGATTTAGTTCTACCTCTGATTGTGTGATATATGTTTTCCATTATTTATTTCTTTATCTATCTTATCTATCAAGGTAGGTGGCCTTGGTATATACTAGTGAAAATGACCCCAAAGGAAAGATCGTCTTGGGTTAGTGTCCCTTGGATGTTTCAATATATTGTTAATTCTTATCCGCCATTCGGTAATCATGCCAAGATGGGAATTGATAATTAGTGTCTCCATCCATTTACCCTTCTATTCGTGGAAGTGCCAGTCAGAACAAACGATCACCATTCGATCGTAGTTCAAATAGTTTTTTTTTTTGGGTTGGGTACTTTGATAAAATATAAAAATATTATATTATATATATATATATGTATCAATATATGCAGCCGATAGGGGGTCTTTGGAATTTGATTCTAGGGTCCTTGGTGATTTAGTTCTACCTCTGATTGTGTGATATATGTTTTCCATTATTTATTTCTTTATCTATCTTATCTATCAAGGTAGGTGGCCTTGGTATATACTAGTGAAAATGATCCCAAAGGAAAGATCGTCTTGGGTTAGTGTCCCTTGGATGTTTCAATATATTGTCAATTCTTATCCGCCATTCGGCAATCATGCCAAGATGGGAGTTGATAATTAGTGTCTTCATCCATTTACCCTTCCATTTGTGGAAGTGCCAGTCAGAACAAACGATCACCATTCGATCGTAGTTCAAATATGTTTTTTTTGGGTTGGGTACTTCGATAAAATATAGAATATATTATATCTATGTCTGTGTTGTGCAATTGATCTGGGTTTTCTGGAAATGGATTCTTGGGTCTTTCCAAATATTTAATATATTATAATGGAATTGAATTGTATTGTAGGTACTTTATTATTTCCCCTATGAGGTAACCAATTGGTTGATTAAATGGGTATCATCTTAACATTGGTTATTTAATGTAACTATTCGTTTTTTACCATGCTCATGGAAAATTCTATGTGCATTATTATGTTCACTCTTAGGCAACCACTTGGTTGGCTAAATTGATATCATCCCAGTATCGGTTACGGTTATTTTATTTTATTCTATTCCTTGGATTAACTGGGGTCCACTACCATTTCTGAAGGGTACCAACCAATTGCTGGATCAAAATGGAAAAGGTATCAACCACGCTCTTGTTTTTTTCTAGGGTGGTGCCCCCATATACCTTTGGTATACAGCCACCAATGTTATCCCTGATTATCATTATTTTTTTCAAGTACTAAATTTCCCCCATTATTTCTACGTCTACATCATATATCCTTTAAATGCAATGTCCAACAGCTAATTTGCCGAAGTCAGGGCGCAGAAATCAGCACCCTGAGTTAGGATTTTTTTTTTTTTGACGATATCCTAGGTGCTTGGTGGGGTATTGCCTAAGTAAGGTCGCAAAAATCTGCACCTAGACTTGGGCAATACAGAGGTTGTACCCTGGGATTTAGGAAAAAAAAATGCCGATCTCAGGGTGCAGAAATTGGCATGTGGACTTGGGAAACAGCCCTACTATTATATTCTACCATGATTTTTGCCGCAGAGGATTCGGGGGGTTCAGGGGTCGTCTGTGCACGTCAAAAGTGGGTCGTTTGTGCACGTCAGACGGTTGGTCGTCTGTGCACGTTTTTGTTGTGTGATTTTGTCATTGTATCTCTGTAACATGATTCTTCTTCTAGCTTTTTTTTAAACATCATCACACAACTCATCAAGTTATGTGTTTTTCCTCACATCTCTGTGTGGGGCTTTTGCTTTTAGGTTTGTATTCCTTGCCTTCTCCTCCTTCTCCTCCTGAGTTGCTTCTTTCTCTCTCAACTTCACCCAAGTTGTCTCACAGAACTCACAGAACTCATCCCACACAACTCCTCTCATCTCAGAAGTCACACAACTCATCTCACACAACTCATCTCTCACAACTCATCTTACACAACTCAACTCACTCAAGAGCTGCTTTCGTGTGCCATTTGGTGGAGCTGCTTTCGTGTTCTCTCACTGAAGTTCACCCAAGTTCTTTCACAGAACTCATCTCACAACTCACACAACTCATCTCACACAACTCCACTCATCTCGCAGCTCACAGAACTCGTCTCACACCACTCCGCTCATCTTACAACTCACACAACTCCTCTCATCTCAGAAGTCACACAACTCATCTCACACAACTCATCTCTCACAACTCATCTTACACAACTCAACTCACTCAAGAGCTGCTTTCGTGTGCCATTTGGTGGAGCTGGTTTCGTGTTCTCTCACTGAAGTTCACCCAAGTTCTTTCACACAATTCATCTCACATGAAAGAGCAGTGCGAGGAAATGCTCTACAGCAAGAAAGATGATGAGGTTGCTGTGCGTGTGCAGGCATAGGAACATGAACCTTATTAACTCACCCCACCCCACCGGTAACTCATCATGAAAGAGCTGTGCCTGTCTCTGCTCTACGGGAAGAAAGATGATGAGGTTGCTGTGCGTGTGTATGCATAGGAACATGAGCCTTATTAACTCACCCCACTCCACGGGCAACTGATCATGAAAGAGCAGTGCGTGTAAGTGCTCTACAGCAAGAAAGATGATGAGGTTGCTGTGCGTGTGCAGGCATAGGAACATGAACCTTATTAACTCACCCCACCCCACCGGTAACTGATCATGAAAGAGCTGTGCCTGTCTCTGCTCTACGGGAAGAAAGATGATGAGGTTGCTGTGCGTGTGTATGCATAGGAACATGAGCCTTATTAACTCACCCCACTCCACGGGCAACTGATCATGAAAGAGCAGTGCGTGTAAGTGCTCTACAGCAAGAAAGATGATGAGGTTGCTGTGCGTGTGCAGGCATAGGAACATGAACCTTATTAACTCACCCCACCCCACCGGTAACTGATCATGAAAGAGCTGTGCCTGTCTCTTCTCAACAGCAAGAAAGATGATGAGGTTGCTGTGCCTGTGTGTGCATAGGAACATGAACGTTATCATCCCACCCCACCCCACCCCC